GTTCCCCCCGAATGCTTTCTCTCCTCCCCTCTTTTAGTCTAAGTTGACTGAGCAGCATCAGATATGGCTGACATTCTTGACGCTCTGTGGTCCCCATCTGTAGAGGGGGAACACAAACAAACATTCTGGGAGGAGCCCTGCCGAGGCCACAAATATTCTTCCATTATCCCACATTTGTGTTTGTAGTGCTGGAAGCCTTTACTTTTGGTATTTTTACTCCATAGCTCAGCTTCTTTTTCTCTCAGTAAGTCAGCGCTGCTTGCATAGTGTCACTGAGGCTTTTCTGCAAACTTTCTTCTCTTAAACCTGGTGAATCACATCTAAATCTCAACTTTGACCAATGTATCTGTGCAGGAACAAAATAGGAGCTTTCTTTTAGAAATTCACTTTAAGAAATGAGCACATCAAAGCGGATATTTCTTACAGTTTTCTATAAGGTCAGCCTCAGCAGAACTTTTAAAGCAACCCAGTCATGAAGATTTCTATAAAATCACATGCTATTATAAAGGTATTGCCCTTATTCTTGGCCTGTAAGAGATTTATTACAGGCCTTTACAGTCTGAGAGATGACAGATCCTTTACAGCCAGATACTTGTACTGTAGCAAAAACTTGGCACAAGAGGAATGTTGCCCATCTTCATTGGAGCACCTGCAGCTGAAATATTTGACCTTCATAACACTGGAATTTGACTCCTCAAATGATTAAGCACTGTGAAATTTCTAGCTGGTTCTAGCAGTTTATATTGAACTCTAACAGAAAGTTTTTATGGGATTACAACTGACTGAGGGACACTTTTGTGTGATTTACATCCTTAATGACAGATTTATCACCACACAAAACTGTGCAAGTAGAAGTGTCACAGTCTTATTGCAACTATCCATCAACTAAAATACTGTTGCAGCCTGTGCACACTGGTTGTGGTTATATGTCCACCTGTGCTCACTAATATACCAGTCTTACGACTACCAGTATATGTCAAAGGAACATTACAGTGAATAAACCCAGCGGCAGTAGGACACTGACCAGGCTTGGGTTACAGCTTGGGTTGCACCCTCCCAGTAACTCCTCTCCGTTTTTGCTATGCTAAATGATTATGCCCCTGCATGGAGCTATCTAATCCCAGGGGTCCCGTCTGAAGGAGCCAAGGAGTTCTCTCTATATATATCTGGATGATGTCTGCAGAAATCTTCAGATGGTATTTGACATGGAGCATGCCAACACTGTGCTTCTCAGAGTTTCACTCAGTGGCTGTGCACTCAACATGGACGGAGAGCTACCATCAACCGCCTCTGTGTTAGTTGTAATCATTAGAAAATAAGCACACAAGTCAGAATACTGTAGCTTCACATCAAATTATATATTTTTGGTGAAGTAAGGGCTTGAAGATTTTATTTAAATACAAAAACTTGCTATTTTTGCATCAGATATTCATTATGACTGAACCTCAACATAGGCCCAGACATACTTTCTCAAATTCAGTAACACTGTAGCCATGAGAGAACCTTAAATGTCTCTCCCATGGGTCGTCTTATGCAAACATGATTTCAGGCAGCCAAGTAAAGCTCGGCTCCTCCCTCAGCGGCGACAGAGGAGAACCAGACATTCCATATACATAGTGGGTTGTCACTGTAGGCCTAACAGATTAACTAATACAGTGTTAAAGTATTAGTCTTAAAGCACTTGGAAATGCTGTGTGTTATTTAAACTGGCAAGAGGACAAACTGCACTACCACCTCAAGACCACAAGGTTACAGAATTAAAAGTCTGTTTAGGGGTTATTTTGTCTGAATTGTCAATACCCTGAATATCCATGTGAAAAATGGTTATTTGACAACTTATCTGTCCACTTTTCTGTCCCTTTACATCTATATTTACTCATTTTATTGCTATAAACACTTTTGTGGTTTCAGAGTTGTCTCATGTTTTAATGTGGTTCTATACACTGTAATTTTTACAACCTTGTTTATAACCATAGCTGCCATAAAAAATCTCACATGGTAGGAAAGTAAAGATAATGATAGCATAGTGAATGTGAATATGAATTCTGGTCATTGCTGCACCTGTCTCACTCAGCTGTCGCCTCATGTAGACGACTGAACCAGAACACAGAGATGGGATTCCAGCATGTTAGTGTACCTCAGATCTGTCCAGAAAATGCGCAACAGTTGTCTGATGGCAAGTGTGTTTTTTCACAGTCAGACTCAGCTGTATGTTGTGAGAAAAGAATGTCGTCATATAGTGAAGTCAGACTACATCCCCTCAGCTGTTTGCAATCACTGTTTTCAACACAGCCTTCTGAAGACAATAAATTCCTGTTGGCAGTGATTTGGGCCGGAAGAAAGTACAGCAAGACCATAATCACAAATATTTAATTGTTCATAATCCGTAATGTTCACATGAGTAAGTTCCCTACTTCAGATATAATGAGTTTTCATGTTTCAGTACTCAAACTCAAATGCTACAAAGCTGTTATGGTTGGAGGCTTTAGAGGCCTTGAGAAGCAGAAGTTTTTTCCAAAGAGCACAAAATTATATGTCTAGAGATTATTTTTCACTTCAGCAGCCATGGAAAAGAAACTCTTTTTGGAGCTGTGGTGTCTTCAGAATGCAGTCTAAAAACTGCATTAAATATTGAATTGTTATTGCTTTCCCCATAACACATATATGTAGAGAAATAAACACAAACTCAGCTATGCTCTATCAGAATCATAATCAGAAATACTTTATGTTCTTTAGCTCTGTCTTAATGTGTAAAGGCCTTTAATTTTCCAGTGGGATATTAGTCAGAACACAGTAGCTTTCAATTACATATGGACAGAAGGAGAGATTTGTTGCTACTTTAATCAAAGCTAGTGTATTGGGCCCTAGACTATTTTTACTATGGCAATATGTTAAACTTAAACATCATAATAGAGCTTATTTTCATTCCCAGCATGCCACAGCAAATCCAGTGTGCCATCACAATCCTCCCCTGAGTCCATTAAGTGAAAATGCTTTTATAGATAATTAAGATCAAATTGCAAACCGCTGATTACTGTCAGTGGTATACGGTCATTATGAAGACATGTAAGTCTGAAAAACGTAAATATGACTGGAAATAAACACTGCATAAAATCCTGAATGCATCCAGTATAAATTCTAGAAACATTTAGATGTTTTTACATGTAAATTGTACATGTTTGAAGCACATGATGAACATTCATATGCACACTATAAACATTAAATAAAGCTAATTACTTACTTCAGTAAAAGCAATGGTATCTTGGGGTATTCAGAGCTATTTGTGTGCAGCAGCAACCTCCCAACTTTATATACCGGTACTTATTTAGTTTAAATGCTTTTTTTTTGTGATGTTAGGAAAAAGAAAAAGAGCTTTTTACCTAACACTGGTCCAGAGCAAGAGAAAATCAGACAGAGGTAAGGCCGGATCTGTGAGCAGTATTTTTCAGTGCCAATCACAATTATACAAATGCCAGTCTATTAGAACATGGACTATCCTGGGATTATGAAAATATTTTTCTATTACTTGCCTGTCAGTCAAAGTCTAAGACCTTGACATACCTTCAATAGAAGCAATATGGGGAACCACCATTCATTTTCTGTTGTTGTCTTGGTCATATTTTATACTGATTGAGTGGCGTAAAGACTGAGCAGCTTATTTGATTCTAGAGACACTAACAGATCTACCAGGCATACCAACAAAAATCTATAAAAAAGACTAAAGGCTGAGCAGGACATGGCTTATTTTAGGGGACATATCTAATGGCATTAGACCTTGCACTCTTGGCACTCAGTCTTGGATCCATATTACAGACTAAGGCAGGTGCATGAAAGAGAAGGCAATCCTAAAAATATCCTTGAGAATCTTTGTGGAGACTTGAAGACACTTGGTGGGTCCCCACTTGCAGCAGTCGCATGCTTCAGCTTCTCACTAGCTCAATACATTATATAATGTTAATATTATAAGAAATCTCACAAAGGGGATTATTGGATCTAATAAATAATGGAAAACACAATAACAGGCTATAATAGAATCGTATAGTATATAATATAACACATTCTCACTAATGAATGTACTACACATAAACTGAAATATTCCCCTTTTGTAGTTTATAAAACAGTTGACATTTCTAAAATGCCATGTCAATCCGCTGCTGAGCTGCTGTAATTAAGGTACAAAATCCTTCCGGGCTTGGCTGGTGCTGGACGCTGTGCTGCTACAGTCAAATGACACATCAACAGTTTACAGGAAGGATATCCGATACATTATCAGGTAAACACTTCCCTGTCTTGAGCCCCCCAGACTGTGAACAATGCCTCAAGGGCTTGCTTGGCTTACCGAAAGCATCTCTTCTCACACAGCCCACTAGCCTTGAGCTACTATAATTTATCCCAGAGGAACTTACACTCACCTACTCACCCAAGCACAGTCACACACACACACACAGTGGCTGCAAGCTAACAAAAGCCTGGTCAAACTGTTATCACAGCTGCCTGAAATTCCCCTCTTACAGGGCCAGATGAATAGGAGAACACTGTCACTGTGAAATCAGAAAAAAAATTACATGAAAAGCAAACATGTGCCAGATATCAGTAATACTGGAAACTGAACAACCTCAAAAGACACCCAATAAAGAGACACACTTGCTGCTTTTAAATGTATTGCCAGTTGCCACAGTGCTAAAACAGACTGTACAGAAGTGTCCTGCACAGATTTAATGATTTGCTCATCCAGTAAGAAATGCTCATCTGCATCTTCTCTGTGCATTAAGTGGCTTCTGTTACATTCCCTTTAGGAAGTCCTTCCTTTGGGAGCTGCCTGCTTGTCCATCACACCCCATATATAGGCGTATCAAAAGTCAAATGTTTGGGAGCAACGAATCGCCATGCAGATCCTTGAAGAACGCCCGAGCACCCACACACGCCTACTCCAAAAAAGTATTGGATGTCCAAAGGAATCCAGTCACCCCCCCCTTGAAAGACATATTTGACAGGGCACAGTAAGGCAGAGCCTGCACTCCAGCTTAGCGTTCAGTTAGGCACAGACGCCCCAGCTCCTCTCCTCTCCTCGGTTTTCATTTGGACGTTTTGTTGGTGCAGCCGAACAGCAAATAACCAGCCATGGATGCCATCAAGAAGAAGATGCAGATGTCAAGTCTCGGACAGTGAGAATGCCTTGGACAGAGCTGAGCAGGCTGAGTCAGACAAGAAAGCCGCAGAGGACAGAAGCAAACAGGTCGGCTGATTTTTTGTGTTTTGTTTTTTTCCTTTGTGGAAAATCCACAAGATCGATAGAAAAGGCAGGAATACCAGTAGCACTTTAAGGCTGCTGCCCTTTAAATGGATCGCCTTCTAAATACGGATTAATTACGTTCGTGGATAATCCCAATTAAGGATTAAATTAAGAATAACCCATCCTTCTTGATTTTTTATTTTTTATTTTTTTGGAGGGGGGGTGTTACAAATCCTCCTCTCATCTGTTTTTGATTAATTGGTGAAGTAATTATAGGCTAGAAAATGTGAATTGGAGAAAGATATTGTTTAGTATTAGACTGAATAATTGCATGTTTATTTCATATTTTGTTTAACTTTACAATGTCTTTCATATGCATGTATAGTTAGACGACGAAATAAGAGAGTTGGAAAAGAAATTGCGCGTTACTGAAGACGAAAGAGATAAAGTGTTTGAGGAGTTCCAAACTGCTGAGGAAAAGCTGCTGACCGCTGAGGAAGTCGCCACCAAGGTATCTGATCCTGAAGTGCATGAGCTCTCTTAACTTTTCTCTCTGCTCTCTTTCCCCTGTCCTGTCCTGTCCTCTCCCGTCCTCTGTGTGTATGTGTGTGTCTCTTTCTCTGTACGCGCTCTTGCGCCATGTGCGCGCTCACGCAACTCCCCGCTGATCACCTCTGAAACTGTCTGGGCACTGAAACTCGCCTCAGCTTGAGGACGATCTGGTAGCTCTGCAGAAGAAGCTGAAGGGAACTGAGGATGAGTTGGACAAGTACTCCGAGGCTCTTAAAGACGCCCAGGAGAAACTTGAGCTGGCTGAGAAGAAAGCCACCGATGTAAGTAAGGGAGGGATTCACAAATGGCACCATTCCTGCACCACGCTTCCTCACATCTTCATTCTCTCATCACTGTGAATGTGGAAAACGACAGTTCAACACCACAGAGAGAGAGAAAAAATCCCTCTCTGTTGGAATTCAAACTGCCCAAATCAATTATATCTGAAATGGTTTTCTGTTTGGATCTTGGAAAACTGACCATCTAAACCCACATGGACTTTTCTGATCCAATTATTGTTGAACTGTCGCTTTATGTTTTGTCAATGATCACATACACCATCACTTACACGTCTGCCCAAAGAAAGTCAGATATGCTGTTTAACTGATGCACATTATTCATTTTCAATTAAATAATCAATTCATCATCCACAGACTAATTGATGATATTAATACCCTATCCCTTCAGTGTTTTTAGGCCTACATGTGTTCAGTCTTGTAGGTCTTTGCCTGAAGAAGTCTTTTTCAGGGTGAAAAGCCAAGTAGCCTAATGCCAGTCTTCCTAAGAGCGCAAGCGCCTGGATAAATATAGCCCACTGCTTTATATGGTCAAGACAGAGCTCACATCTGCGGGCTGCGCTCTTTGCTTACCACAGGGAAAAACACAGTTTCTCATCGAAATGGCCCAGGGAACGTACTAATTAAAACAATAAATATATTTAGCTTATTCACAGACAAACAAATAAATGATTCTTTTACAATATGGTATTGCTTATAGTGCTTCCCCACTTTTGGATAAACAGCCTACATGGCAGAAAAACTATGTAAAGAATTTAGATTTAGACATTTAAACGATGCGACCTGCTTGACAAAAAAAAAAAGGCTTTAGATCCTCACAAAACATGTTTTCACCACAAACAATACAGTTAATGACCGAGTTATGGTGACTGCCAAGTTTAAATGGAGACACTGCTCACAAGAGTTAATCAGAGGAATCAATTTGCAGTGAGGCTTATCAGTTGCCTCCAGGAAGACCCGTTATAATAATCCTTTAATTGGATTCCTTCGGGGAGTTAAACTATAGTGACTAATGAGTTTCAGCCTATCACACTTTATGCTGTATTTTAGTACCTATAGGCCTTTTTCCCCCCTTAATACTCCTGTAGGGACTTTTTTGGGGTATGGTTATAGTACTGAAATGAATTGAACTACTACTTAGTGTTTTATGGCCTTGTTTTTATACCCTTTCATATTCTTGGAGGGATTTTCTGTGATATTTGCAAAGTCTAAAACGTAGCCTGTAATTACTCTATTCAGTGAAGACTTAGTGAATGGCCTGCAGTATTTCCCTGCCATGTGCACTGCTCAGAGCTGGCCCGCAGGGGGCGCTGTGGCACTGTTAGTTCGCCCCAGACGCGAGTGTTACACAGTGTTGACTGGGAGTGTTTGTTTTTTTTTCATTAAAATATATATATATTTTTTTTACTTTGTATCAATTAAAATTCACATTTTTTGTTTTATGTAGCAATGCAGCAGATTTCCACAGTGTAACTTTGCACAACCCCAGCAGAATACTTAAATTCTAGGCCTGAAATCAGCGGTACTTCCTGGACAAATAGCAGGCAGGCATTGCAGAGTGCGTCTCCAGAAAGCTTGCGCACTGTCCGGACCAGCCTGTCTTCATCAAGGACGTCATCTCGCCGCTTGACAAATTTGTCGGAAATTGCAGCTGCAGGTCGTAGTGTAGCTCCCATTTTTTTTTTTAATTGATTAGTTGCATAGTTCACAATGGCCGGAGCTACATCGCTGGATGCCGTCAAACGAAAGATCAGATTCTTGCAAGAGCAGGCAGACGATGCTGAAGAGAGAGCCGAGAGATTACAGAAGGAGTTGCTTGCGGAGAGGAAAGCCAGGGAACAAGTAAGCATGTTTATACCGCGCGTACAGCCGGGCAGGAGCTGCTTATCAAAATGCACACAAAAAAACTAATACTGGTCCTCCTCTGTGTGGTTTATTTATTTATGTGTGCTCCGTTCATGAAGCAGCTCGGATTGATCCACGGTGAGTTAGCGGGATTTTTCTCCTGATGCACCGCCGTGCTTGCAGGCTGAGCTTTTACACAGCTCCCATGCAGTGCACACAGCAAAGTACTCCTCTGAGGGTTTGATCGCCTGCTGCTCCCGGCTAAGCGCTTATAATTGGTAACGTTAGGCCGCTGATGCCCAAGTCAAAGCAGTTGAGCAACCGTGTGCACATTGGTATCACTGTGTTGCCTCATCTTCCCCCGCACTGTTTCACTGGTGCACTTTTTTTTTTTTCTGTAACGGTCCCATTCAACCTGCTTTCCAGGAAGTTGCGTTTGTTCTACTCCGCAGGCACGCGACATTTGATTAAATAATTTGTTCAGCGACCAGGAAGTTGCAACAAAACAGTGGCAACATTTTGAAGGTGCCACTGAGCAGTGTGAGCTTATTGCTCATTTACATGCCCTTATAAGGACAACAGGTTTTCACAGCTACAAAGAGTGATTTCCCTTTGTGTGAACACAGCGGCAACTACCTAGAAGGGAGATCTCTCTGCAGGGGCTTAGAGCAGTCTGAGTCTGTCTGAGGCTCAGACTGGCCGCTCATCTTAATCAACCTTGAGGGTTGAGACCTTTGCTTCAGTTTATAGATTAAAAGTAATTTCCTTGTCATGCTTCACAACTTCAGATGCACTTTGATCCAGCAGTGGACACTTGAAATGCAGGGGAAACGGTAGTTTTGGTGGCTTGTTTTTTTTTCACTGTGCATTTTCAGGACAATGCAAGTCTCATACCTGCTGATCAGACATCAAAAAGCAGAAGTAGCTTTCTACAGGTTTGAATAGTCACGGTAAAGGTCAACTCCTTTTCAGTCTCTATGAATGCACAGCAGTTTTTCTATTTATTTTTTTTTAATTTAACACCAAACAAAATGCTGCAAATGTAACCAGTTAAATTACACTTAAATGTCAGTTGTGAACTATCCAGAGACCCTCCTCTGGGGTTGTATGTGTACCATGTGAGCAGCCATTTACTCTCGGGGCCTTTGACTTGAGCCTTGTTAATATTCTCTCTGGGACCTAGTAATGAGGCACGGTATTCAACCTTCTGTCAGCTTGGGACATTGTTATCATTATACATAGTCAATGAGGAGCACAGGCAAGCCTCCTGGGAGGGATTTTCCCAACAGGTGGCACACAAAAACACTTTCGAACAATCGTGATTACACTCATCTGGCATAAAATAGCGTTAGCTTGCACCACAAAATAACTAAACTGATTCACCTTCTGTACATTCTTTGGGCTGATGTGTACGTGTGATTTCCAGGTTGTACGTTTAAGATAGAGACATCCACGATCTCCTGACACGCTCCTCTTCTCTCCCTAGGCTGAGGGAGATGTCGCTTCCCTTAACAGACGTATCCAGCTGGTTGAGGAGGAGTTGGATCGTGCTCAGGAGCGTCTGGCGACAGCCCTGACCAAGCTGGAGGAGGCTGAGAAGGCTGCTGATGAGAGCGAGAGGTGGGTTCTTTTGAGCTGCGTAGACTCAGATCTTTGATCTCTGCTACAGAGACCAGGTGGCAGGGCTGTGTTTCCATCCCTTTGTGTAGGGTACAAGCAGACCTCTGTGTCGCAGAGCTGGATGTCAGACAGTTCACAATCACAATAGCTATGCAGCATCCCAAATTCTGTATTTTATCCATCCGCCAGCCAACACTACTGCGTCCTCAGGGAGACTGTAGGCTGTCTGTCTGGTCTCAGCTCCTGATTCCTAATATCCTGTGACTGTTTGTTCCCTCACACAGAGGCATGAAGGTCATTGAGAACAGGGCCATGAAGGACGAGGAGAAGATGGAGCTGCAGGAGATCCAGCTGAAAGAGGCCAAGCACATCGCTGAGGAGGCTGACCGCAAATATGAGGAGGCGAGTTTTTCAGCCACAGGCAGCCAGCGCAAAACAATAGTGCAACACAAAACATGCAGTTCCTCGTTGATGGCAATCAGCAGTTCTGTGACAGACTTGTTACGGTTGTTGATAATATGTGGAATTCCAAGATGTATTTATTTGTTTAATAATATCTTAATCTGTTAATCCTGTGTAACTTTTCTATGTTTAAAGGACCAGTTAGGGAGCATTTTTTACCCATATATGCCTAATTACGTTCCTGCGTTTTTCTAAAAAGTATAAAATAACACTGTATTTTACTTTAGCATTTATAGGCAGTATACAAACATTTAATACATGGTTTATAACAGACCATAATGTAGTTGTAAGCACATATAAGCATTTATTAATGTATTTGTCAACAACTATAACTTCTGGTGCATAAACAGATAATGAATAACAGTATAGTAAAACACATTGATAATTAGTAATGGAATGTATCTAAGTGCACTTACTCAAGTAGTGTGCCTAAGTATGAATGTGAGGTACTTGTACTTTGAGTATATCCATTATATGTTGCATTACACTTATACTTCACTGGAGGGAAATGTTAAACTTTTTACTCCACTACAAATATTTGACAGCTTTAGTTACTAGTTATTTAGCTAAATAAGATTTTGCATACAAAATATATGAAGAGTTTCTAAAATGTGATGCTTTATTTATAGATCAAACAATTAGTTGATTAATTGATTAGTCAATTAACAGAAATCAATTAGGAAACTACTGAGTCCTAATTATGCTTTTACACTTTTACTAAGATAACATTTTCAGAGCAGGACTTTTACTTGTAATGTATGTAATGAGTATGTTTACAGAAATATATTAGTACTTTTACTTAAGTAGAGGATCTGAATACTTCTTAAGATGTGTTTATAGAAGAAGTTATAATTGTTGACAATAACTATACATTGATAAACACTAAAATATTCTTATATCAGCTTAAAACTACATTATAATTAGTTATAAACTATTTGTTAAATGTTATTGAAATGTTCAATGCGAAAAAGGAGAGATTACAGTGTCACCACGTGTAGTTTAATCACATGACGGTACACTTTCACATTAAACCACATCCTAATTGCGTTACTGTCATCAAGCATTTGTTGTGTTGTAACATTTTGTTGTGCTGCACCTAAAGGTTGCCCGTAAGCTGGTCATCATTGAGGGTGACCTGGAGCGTACAGAGGAGCGCGCTGAGCTGTCAGAAGGGTAAGTTCTTTCAACCTTTACATGCACTAAATCTGCACTTACACTTGCACGTTCACTAGCGTTTTAACAGTTGCCGCTTCAAGCACTAATACACAAAGTATTGGACGTGTTTCCATTTGAACAGTGTGCCCTGTGTTCTGACTGTATGTGCTGATTATTTGCATGCTCTCCATGGTTTGAATGGCTATGACTTGCACACGTACGCCGCACCCACTTACAGAAAATCTCGGAGAGCGGAGGATGAGCTAAGGGTTTTGGAGCAAAGCACGAAATCACTAAAGTCCACAGTCATACAGGTACTACAAACAAAAACTAACACTAATGCTTAAATCTTTGAGTGGCTCTTCCCAATGTCACTCATGCTGCTGAGTTGAGTCTTGCTTGCTGTGCTGTTCTTTTCTTCTTTTGTGCTCTTTTAATTCTGGGTATATTAGACTCTTTCACACCTCTAACATGGCAGTGACTGTACAAGAATAACACCTCACGTTTAAGCGAAGCATGATATTTAAATGCATGTTACAAAATTATTGATTTAATTGTAACCCACTACTGTTCGTGAGTCACATTGCTATTCTCACATTCCTGCTCTGTTAAGGCACTTTTTAAGGGGTTGGGGTTTCCTCCTTGTTTTAATTCCTGTAGTTCTTATTTATTTTGTTTCCTCTCCCCCTCCCTCTTACTTTCCTTCTGCCTGTTTCGTGCCAACCTCTGGTTCTGTCCACCCTTGCTTCCCTCCTTTTCCTCCACCCCCTTCTTCTTCTCCTCCTTTGCAACTTTATCCCCTTGTCTAAAACCCCAGCAAATGCTCTGAGCTTGAGGAAGAGTTGAAAACTGTGACCAACAACCTGAAGTCACTGGAGGCCCAGGCTGAGAAGGTAAGTGCCACCTTCTGGCCGACCGTATGCTGTCAAACCCCTCAGCTCCCCATTACACTGTGTGGATGCGGAGCAGAAGAGCCCGGGGAGTCGAATCTCTTCACTTCAGTTTTATTTCATACAATACTTATCTGTATGAATGTATTAAAATGTGTGGACATTCAGAGTTTGACTCAATGCCCATGTGTTTTACACCTGTCCTTTTTTTTTTTGTCCCACAGTACTCACAGAAGGAGGACAAGTACGAGGAGGAGATCAAGGTCCTCACCGACAAGCTGAAGGAGGTAAAGTTTCACAAGGCCTTATCTGGAGTTGCAGAATGAGTCCAGGGTAACTTATACAAGTCACAGGTGCGGTATCACGCGGACTAACTCATAAATCTGTTTCTGTGACACAGGCTGAGACTCGTGCTGAGTTCGCTGAGAGATCAGTAGCCAAGCTTGAGAAGACCATTGATGACCTGGAAGGTATGATTTTTTTGGCCCTCACCCCACAATTAGGTCATTTAGAAATTGTTACTGTGTCAGTGATGGATTTTGGGTAAGTGCTCAGTGCTTTTTAAAATAATCTCTTCAGCCCATTCTTTGCTTTGCTCTTGAACTCTATTTCTGCTCTTAATTTCATCATGGTCCTTTTTTACACAGTATCATACTTTTGTTGTGGTGACCCTTATCCTATCTACATTAAGTCTGGTTGATTTGTTTTTGAGTTCCAAGGTAGGAAAGAATGGCTTTGATGTTTATCAGCGATCACAGGCCCAAATGTTGACTTAGTGTTGAAGGAGTCAGAGTGAGGGCTGAAAGCCATATGGCAGTGAAAGACATGGTCCATTTCTTCACGCTGATGAATTTTCCCAGAATTTTTTTCCCATTCTGTCATTTTCTGGTGTAACTTTGTTTTCCTCTTTTCTTTCAATTTTTCTCTCACCTGTCAATGGTCTGGATGCTTCACCCTTCACCTCCTTATCATGTCCTCCTTCAACTTTGCTCCTTTTCACTGCACCTCCCTCCCCCTGCACCCCTGACCCACCAATAGATGAGTTGTATGCCCAGAAACTGAAGTACAAGGCCATCAGCGAGGAGCTGGACCACGCCCTCAACGACATGACTTCCATGTAATTTCCGATTTGCTGCGCCTGCTTGTTCCCCCTGCACCTCTTTTCTCTGTACACCAACTGCCTCGGCTTCATTGTCTCCCCTATGTTGCCTTGAACTCTTGATAACTACTACGTCCAACTCCTGTATCTGTTCCTACATTTAAAATGGCTATGTGGATATGTTTTTATATAGTCTTAAAGTTAAATGTCTTAAAGCAGACTTTGTGGTATTCCATGTCTGTGTAATTGAAGCCCACTTGCAATAATTACAACTCACTCAAAGTGGTTTCCTCTCACACTTCCTCTTTAGTGTGGTTATGATGATACTTTATGATACCTTTTGTATCAGTATCATTTGGGTTTGATGCTGTAAACAGGACTGAAATGATGCATGAACAAAACTCAGCATGAGTTTACATTTCTTAGCTGATTCAAGTGTGAATTTCATTTTTTGTGAAAAGTAAGCACTGTTGATTTTGTCAGTCTATGCAGTTTTACAGTTGACATCTTAAGCCACGCATGCAAGTTGCCTATTGAAATGTTGACTGTATTAGGACTCTGATTCACCCACTGTAACTCAAGGTTATGAGGTTTTCCTCTGTCCTTTTCTACTAACATGGTCTACTTCTGTCCAGAAGAAAGGCCCCCCCTTGTATTTGTGAGCCCCCGCAACCGTTGGTTGAACATTAACTGTCCCAGTTTAGCACCACTGTGGTTAAACCCCCAAGTTTTGCTAAATTAGTGTGGGAGATTGACAAGTTGCACCACAGTCTGTCTGGTCCTGCGCTGCTCCTCGCGTGTTAGCAGAAAGGTCTCGTTCTAATCCGGGGGAGGAATTGGTCTAACCTCCAGTTTGTGTTTGTCAGCGTGTACCTACCTCACAATGCATTTCCATTGTGCATTGTGGTTTTGTAGTGTTTTGCCATAAGTCGTGTGATTCTGGTGTATTGTGGCGCACATCTAGAAACTTCGGTAGGTCCCACGCCGACCCCCCTGGTTCACTTTACTTCTTCTCTCCCACACAGATAAATATTTTACACCTCATCAAAGACGTCTCCTGCCGGCTGAGCGGCATCTGTGTGCTCTCTCCAGCCTTCTCTCCATTTTCCCTTCCCACTCTGTCTTTGCTTTCCTTTCCTCCTCATGTTTTCAACATCATGTCAAAGTTACTTGCGTCCCATCTCTTGTACAGAATCCTAGAATCTTTCTGCATTGTGTAAAAAATAAACACCCTTCCTTCTATGTAAGCTGTATCTCTTTACTCTGTCCTTTGTTTTCTTTTTAATTTCTATTTATTTTCAAGTGGCTCTAATAAAACCAGGAAGCCTTGATTTTAAGTTATGTTTTTGATTTTGTTTCTTCATCTCCACAAACCATTAGTTGAGCTTAACCCTGCTTTTCTTGTTCTTTTCCTTTTCTTCAAACATTGTTCTGTGACGCTGAGATATAAGGAATATCACAGTAGTGCTATAAGCACAGAAACATAGAAGAACTACAGGTACTTGACTGAAAGCTGAGCCAAGTTGTCTTTTCTCTTAGCATTTGAGACTAATGCATGCAAGCACTTTTCAACATTTAGTACTGTGACAGGAGGAGCAGACTGGAAACGTGTGAATTGGAGGGAATTAGTATTGGATTGTTATCAGGAAGATTGAAGTAAAGTAGAGTAATTGGGTGTAATGGTAAAATACAGAACAGTATGTAAGATTTGTTGAGTCTCATCTGGTTGCTGGAAAAATTGGATGAACGTGCTATCAGTTATTATGACACATGGGCCTTGTATGATACATAGTATCCTGTCATATACTTGAATAAATATACAATCACACATTCTGAGTGTTTTCATTAAAGTCATTGCCATAAATTCAGACACATTAAGTTAAGCAGAAGTGAGCATTTTTCTGGTGCTGTATGTTTTGAGACTTTATATTTTAAATGGGACTGCAGAACATTAGCCACATCCTTAAATTCTTACAGTGTCAGACCAAACTCAGGCTACAGAATGATTGATTCTCACTAGCATATTTTCCAGTCTGATGTTAATCAGCCAGATTAGATGCATTTTTTAGAGACTGTAATGACCAAAATGGCAGATTTAGTATTCATAGTATTTATTATTTGTTCTATTTTGTTGCCACACTATCCAATTTTAAAAGATTCTATTTTTCTGCCATTGTTCCTTTCAAACTTTCTTGGTTAAATCTGCTCATCCTCTGTCTTCATTTTCTGTCCTGCCTTGCTTTACCAGTTGCAGGCAAAAGTAGATTGCTAATTAGTGATTGATAAAGAGTAGAAAAGTTATTCAGATATTGTCAGTGTGTTTCATAAGGTTTAAAAAAAGTCTTGGGTCACCCATTCTAGAGAAGGTAGGTGTCAACAGGCATTTCACTTATTCTTTTCCTATTTTCCTCTGATTTCCTGTCCTCTCTCTGTTTTTCAACTTGCTTTCTGACTGCAAAGATCACCTCTACCAGCAACTTGAGAAAAACCGCCTACTCACTAATGAACTACGCGTGGCCTTGAACGAGGACTAAATTGTGTGAATGTTTTTATCTGTTTGTGACGGCTTTGTTTTTAATGTGTGTATGACAATCTAATCCACTGTAAGATCCAAAGCTCTTCCGTTTGCATTGTCCACGTACGATGCTTGCACTGCTTGAAATTTGTGTTGTTGTTTGTGAAATTTTTAATTCAAAAATAGTTAAAATCAGGAATCATGAAGTATATTATTTTCTAGTCTTATAACATTATTCAATGATCACTTTTTTATGGATTATTGTTGTGTTTATGTGTGTTAATAAGTACTTTGTTGTAGTACTGTAACCTGTTTGCATGGTTGCTTGCATATCATAATATTACTTTGTTTGCCCCTTTTGTTTTCTATAAGTGAAGTGTAGGTAAATTTAAAAGCACTCAAATTTAATAACTGACCAGAATGATGTAGCAGCTTGATTATTAATGCAAACTAACCAACTGACTCGCTTATGCTCGTTTGTGTGAGATTAAAACTTCTTCATTTGATGTTCTAACAGAGAAACTGTCACATGCTAAAGAAGAGAACCTCGATATGCACCAGATGCTGGACCAGACTCTAATGGAACTGAATAATTTGTGAAAGCACGGTCTGACCCCACACGCACTGTGGTTTTGGCTTTTTGTTCTTGCACCTTGCTTACCATAAACCCTCTGCTCGTACCTTGCCAATGGTGGAGATCAAACAGCCAGATGCTTTTCCTATTGCACCATCCTGCCTTCAGCGGAACTCGACCAAGGAGCAAAGCTAAGGGGAAGTGAAGCTTAACCATTCCCTTTTATAAAGCCTAAACTGAGAAACAAGATTGTTTTCACAAGCCAGTTTTTATCTTGAAACATTGTCTGCCTTTTGCAATCTTTGACATAGTTTTTTTTTTTTTTGACAAGTCATCCAGTGAAATGACATGTGCCATTGGTTACAAACCGTTCCGTTCCACCTTGATTATGCACATACCAAAGGACAAAGTGGAGAAATTTTGGATTTACTTAAACCTCAACATTATGCACCTTTTGCAGTCTGTAAGACAAACTATGTTTAAAAAAAGACAGAAGATTTCCGCACAAGTGTAAGTATACAATGACTATGACTGTCAGTGTGTATACTGGTGCTACTGTTTTGTTAAGCAATGACTGAAAATGCTAATGCATTACAGAATATTCTTAGTTTTCAAAATTTGTTCATCTTGTCCATGAAGTAGGATTTCAGTCATCTGGTTGTGCATTGTTTTAGCATTGTATTAATGTAGATGTTTCAAGTGTTTATTATATCGGAAATGTACAAAATATGAATATAAATAAAAGCACGTTTTGAAAGTTTTCTAACTTTGTTTATGGTCCATGCATAGCTATTTTTGTCCATCATAGAGGTGACCTAAACTAAAGGTCTTAATAGACTTTGGGGTGATTGAATAAAACTTGTTGCAATGCACAGGAAAATAAAACGTATTTAATTTATCTTTCCCGGTGACACGTAATATGTGTTAAATGTTTAAAAGAATCTGTTCATTTTGCAGCTTTATTGCATTACTCATGGCTCAATGTTTGCCTGACCCTCCGTTTGAATTCCAGCTGGGCGAAAAAACATTATCATGTGTTTCTTTGGTTCACTGGAGCTCACTAAGCACTACTGAACCGTATAGTTCAGTTTCAGAATAATCAAACTAATGTAGCAATGTTGTTGGAAAGTTTTTAAATAAAGTCTTCAGCAGAAGTAACAGTACAATAACTTAAAGGTCTTGACTCAGTTGAAGTTATGTATCAAAGTAAAAGCTTACTCCAGTAAGGTGTATTTCATTTGTGTGGAGTTATTGTTACATTAACCTTTAAGATTACAAAGTGGTCAACTTATCAGTATATTGTTGGGTAGGTTATTTAAACTCTAATAATCTACTATAGCGTATGATTTACCATAAACTATGACTTTATCATAGCCGTTTTATTTTGCATGCTATCTTATTTTACTCAGTAGCCACCATATACAGTATTATTCAGTAGTTTATTTAGGTTTGGAACTTCCGTGAAACAATCTTCAACTGTTGACAGCTGCAAGTAATTTGCATGACCTCTGAAAGTCCTTTGTTGCACCAGAGGAGATAACACACAGTGTGTGTGTGTGTGATATTGCCCAGGTAGTAAAGCCTGTGTATACATTATAGTTAAGAAGTTGGCACCCTTTGAAGTCAGTGAGATGTCGCCAAATGTGACACACACGTGTTAATAAAAATCAATCAGCTCATAATTAGCTTAGACCTTAATTAGCAAATAAATAATAAAACTATAAAAGAAAGACTCATATGGACAGAGGGCTCCTGTGCTCACATTTTTGACACTGCACACAATTTTACAGTGTGCTCAGTAGGGTGTCCTATTTCTTATATTTCCATTTAGGTGAAATGAGTTCTTGTCTTTGAAGTAGAAGCAGTCTGAGAGGTTAGACGCTGCATTATTTTCACTCTGAGACAGTTGAAATAGCAGTTACCATCACCATGGCAACCTTTGACCGACTGACATACAGCTGATTGAGATGAGCTAATTAGTGCAGTTTGACACACACACACATACACACAGAGGACTCAGACATCTTCACATATTTTTCAAAGCCTTTTTCAAATCTTATTTGCTTATACTTCATATAGAAACTCTATGCAAACACTAAAATGTTCCACTTTAATCTACTTAAGCTGATTCTTCATATTAAAATTAAAGGTCCAGTGTGTAACATTTAGGAGGATCTACTGTCAGAAATGGAATATAATATTCATATGTTTTCATTAGTGTTTAATCGCCTGAAAAATCAGAAACGTTACGTTTTTGTTCTCTTAGAATGAGACGTTTTTGTCTACAGGGGGCACAGGGCCTCTTCGGCAGAGCCCACCATGCTGTGTCTACAGCAGCCCAGAATGGAAAAACCAAACTCTGGCTATAAATAGGATTCTCCCTTTGTTCCTAATTATGCTAATTTGTTTATGGCTCTGGGAAAAAAGGTACATATTGAACCCCAATTTTCCCTTTTTGAAGAATATTTTGTTGTTGATTTATTGATGATGTGGTTTTACCAAAGAAGAAGTCTGCGGTTTTTGTAACTACATTAATCATACTTACCCTACATTGAAATGCAGTCAAGAGAAAACTGTGTGCAGTCAAGTGCAGTGAAGAGAAAATTGTCTTCTCGGATGTATTTGATATCTGTGAATGTGAGCTGACTGAGTGACTTGATACCTCTGTTTCTGTAAGATACTGACAGAAGCATTATTTTGCATGCCCAAAGTCACCATCCCAAGAAAATACTACCCAACATTCCCTATATGGGAAGTTTAAGGTTGAACACATAAACAATAAAGACAGTGATTTTGATGTCAAATCAAAAGAAATTAAGGCAAGATTTGTCCAGAGAGGTTACAGGGACCATGGTTTGCAAACAGCTATCAATAAGTCTTCTATTTAATTTTTTTTTTAATCTCATAGACCTAAATACAACACTTTGTGTCTGAATATAGTACTATATCTGGAAGGATTCAGAAAATTATCAAAAAACATTGCAATCTACTCAAATGTGACCCTTTTCTGCAGCAGATCTCTGCCAAGATTTTGTTACAAGAGGGAGATAATAAGGGACTCTAAGGTTGAGCCTACATGGAAATGTAGATGTTCTAAAGAAATTGCCTTTTTTATTAATCTCTCTGTAACTTAATTATAAGTCTTTGTACATTGGTCTTCTTACCAACACCACAGGTGGATAGTGAACAGAGCTAGACCTTGAAATCAAGTGAACACGAGAAATGCATCCTGAGCATTTTCTTTCGAG